TAAACCGGAAGCCACTGAAAAGCGAAAAGAATTGGCTTAACGTGATTGTGTTTGAAGCCACCTGAAACCAACTTTGAAGCCCAAGTTTGAATCGACTTCAGTCTAAATATATTTACACCAGACAGGCCGTAATATAGACTATTGCAATAGTCTGTTCATGAGTGGATAAAGAAATGAACGAGACATTGAAGGGTATGCTTGCTTTTAGATCGTTTGATGCGCCTAAGCCTACGCAACTGTCCAGAGCATTCTTTCGAAACTGCCCTTTTGTATGAACGTTAAAAGACATGTTATAATCAAAAACAAATGCCAGGTTGCGAGCAGATGTGCAAAATTCAATGTCAGAATCACCAAGTCTGATAGACTCAATGTTCATTTTTTCCAATGGCTGCCTAGAGTCAACCGGTAAAACCTGAGTTTTGTATTGATTCAATTTAAACCTACTTGCCATCATCCACTCATTAATTTCTGACAGGCATGATCTGAGACTACAGACAAGATCATCAGAACGACGAAGGAAGACACTAGGAATGATCTGAATATCATCACAATAATGAACAAAAACAAATCAATGAATGAATAAATGAATGAATGAGAGAATGAATGAATGAGTGACCGATTGAATAAACGAAGCGCGAGCGAACGAACGAACGAAGAAACAAAAGAATGAATGATGAATGAATGAATGAATGAAGGAGCGCAAATGACACGTCAGGCATGTTGATAGATGGATGGAAGCGTGCGCGTGAATAAATGCTTCATCAAAAATTGATGGATGGATTGATGGACGGAAGAAATGAAAAGCAAAGAAGAGAAAAAATTTTGCAAAGAATTTTTAAAAAAAACTTAATTGCAAATAAATTGGAAAATGTTTTTATTATAAGAATAATTATTTTATTATAGCTAATTATGATTTCAACAAACCTATGCCACCGAGCAAGAAAAATTTCAATTGCTAGCCGCTGGGCTTTTAATTTGTTATTATTATTCTTTTAAATAAAAAAATATATGCCATTGATAGATGGATGGAAAACTTCCGAAAGACTGAAAGAAGGAATAAGTGATTCTACGATTGAACAAAGTAACAAACAAATGAATGAACGAACGAACGAACGAATGTATGAAGGAACGAAAGAATAAACGAAAGAATGAACGAAAGAATGAACAAAAGAATGAACGAATGGATAGATAATATTACACAAAATTGATTTGCAATTAGTGGGCGAATGGAATGCCATATGTGTAATTAATTGCAGATGAATTAAGCCCAAAAATTTACAGATAAAATTGAATAAAAATAATTTTGAAAAACTAAATTTAAAAAAATAAATAAACAAAATTGTTTTTGTAATCGTAAAATGCCAACAATTAAGCAAAACAAACATCCTCAATTTACATCATTTACTCACAAAGCTCTTATTCACTTCATTCCATATAGATTAATTTTTAAAAACGCCTTTAATAAATGACAAATAAATTTTTTATTCATGTTACACTCATTCAAGTTTTTTTTTACTATTTATTATATTTATTTATCTATTCGAATAATAATTAAACTTTAATTTTATAGTATTATTCATTTGAGAACAAATACGTACTTAATAACTGACACACACTCCACTGCATGCACGCACTGCTAAGGGACTGACTCGTTGAACTTGTACTTAAGACGGAATGAGTTTCTTTTCGTGCTGCATGTATGTTTACTTGTATGTGTGTGTTTGTGTGTGTGTGTTTATACCTTAGTTATTATATTATATTTGTTAGTATGTCTAATGTCTGTATATTTTTTCTATACAACTTCAAGTATATCTGTTCATTCTCATGAATGTCTGTTGTGTGTACATTTTTGTGTCTGTCTGTCTGTCTGTCTGTCTGTTTGTCTGTCTGTTTGTCTGTCCTTTTTTGTGTCTGTCATGCACGACAATTTATTACAGAATTTAATTCCTTTTTTGTCTAATTATTTCCTTCCAACAATCTCGGCCCAGGTGTCGTCTTCTGCTCAGAACAAATTCAGTAACATTCAAACATTCACGTACACTAATTGCTCAGCCAATGAAATGATCGCATGCATTCATCTGCAGTTTCATGGACAAATAAAATCGTTTTATTCATTTGTCTATATATCCATCCATTCATTAGGTCATCTTTTCATTCATCCATCCAACTGTCTGTTCGTCATTCCGTCTATCCATCTATCAATAATTTTCCCCACCTAACCAATTTTTTTTGTCCATTCATCTATCCATTTTTCATTCATTCATCTATCTACCTATCCATCCATTCATTCATCCATAATTCATCCATCCATGCATCTGCTCAGGCTCAGTTGATTCAAGCGATAAAAATAGGATTGATGCATTTTTAATTGAATTCTATAATTGTCCGATGGGCAGATAAGTAGAGGTAATGAATGAAAGAATGAATGAAAGAATGAATGAAAGAATGAGAAAATAAACTAACGTGAGAACGAATTCATGAAAAATGAAAGAAAGAATCAAGAGTTTAGGAGATAAAAACAACAACGAGAATAATATGATAAAATGATCAACAAAATTACAGAAACGATAGATAACTGAGTGTTTAAATGCTAAAGTGAAAGTTAAAAAAAATGAATGACCAAACGATTAGATTGAATAATTATCAGCTGAACGGAAAATATAATTGAAATAATAAATTAATAGATGGATGATTGAATAAAACGAATGAATGGACAAATGGATGATGAATGGATGAAATAGACGGATGGAAGGATGTATTGATGGACGGACGGACGGACGGATGGATGGATGGATAGAAGGATGGATGGATAGAAAGATGAATGGATGGATAGAAGGAACATATGCTCGGATGGATGTAAGGAACAGGTCCGATGACGATCAATCTAACGCTTGGAAAAATTTAATTACATGTACGGATGTACGTGAGTTTATGCGCGCACACACGCACACAAGAGCACACACACATACACACAGGCAAACACAAAAAGGCCTATTCACAAAAGAACTCACACATATAAAAACAAACACAAAATGAAATACACGAAATTTCAAATACACACACACAACATGTATATTTAGACACACATACATACACATAGAAGTAAATACACACACATCAAACTACACAAGCACACACAGACATACACACATACAGAAATAGTTTGCCCTCCTTGTCCATTCTCTCAAAAGTCAACCGACACTCTTAATGACATTAAGAAAATTTGTCAAGATTAATTAGGTCAGGTCTAAATGACGTCACAAAATTAATTAGGTCGATCAAAGGTAACAACTTAGATGAACTCTCACGCTGCAAGGGAAGAAAAGTGATGATCATGTTGAGAGAGAGAGAGAAAGAGAGAGAGAGAAGAGAGAGAAAAAGAGAGAGAAGAGAGAGAAAAAGAGAGAGAAGAGAGAGAAAAGAGAGCAGTGATGTAGAAAAAATAATTAGGAGATAATTAAAGTGAACAAAAGAAAGATAAGAATTGAAGTCAAATGTTGAATGACGAAATGTGAAGCGAGCAGAAAGAGTAATTAAATGCTTTGGAAGAAATTTTTATACAAAAAATTCTGAATTGAAATTTGGAAATAAACCTAAATAGCAAGAAATTGTCAGAAAAAATTACCCAAACTAATGATATTAATGTCACAAATTCACCGAAAGAATGTTTCACAATTTGAATTCAAAAGTAAAAAGCAAAACACAGACAACAATACGTCAACAATAACAACTTTTCTGCTAATGAAACGTTGTCACAATATAAACAACATAAACAACAACAACATTAACAACTAAATAAACAACCACAACATAAACAACAACAAAAATAGGAAAAAGAACATAAAGGACACATGGTCCCACCATTAATTCCATTACCATCCTATATAATTGCATACAGCTATCAATCATTCGGTTATTAATCCAACTTCATTGCTGATCAACTGAGCACAAAAAGTACATACATGCATACATATAAACAAACATACATACATACATACATACATACATACATACAATCAAAGTGTTAATCCATTTGTTACTTGATGTTTGACGGTTCAGTGTCACTCATCATGTTTTGGTTTTAACATACATACATACATACATACATACATACATACATACATACATACATACATACATACATACATACATACATACATACATACATACATACAAACATACATACATACAAACATATATACATACATACATACATACATACATACATACATACATACATACATACATACATGCATACATATATAAATGCATACATACATACATTTTCCCCCTGAATAAACGATTTTTTGAGTTGAATTGAAATACTATTTAGAATTAAAAATATAACATCTTAATCAAAAATATAAATTATTAAATTAACAAATATCATCAGTATATTACTATAATGACCCTTGTACGGTGTATATGCATACAACAACATCAAACGTTCAACTCATTCATTTTAGTGGAAAAATGAAAGATGAGTTTCACTTCGCACTGAATGAAAAAAAATCCAAGAACTCCTTGGTGCTTGTAAAGTTGACAGGTAACAAATATAGACAAAGTTAATATACGCAAAGTTAATATAGACAACGTTAATATAGACAAAGTTAATATAGGAAAAGTTATAATTGGCAAAGTTATAATTGGCAAAGTTATAATTGGCAAAGTTATAATTGGCAAAGTTATAATTGGCAAAGTTGACATAGAGATAAACAAATTTAATAATAAGTATATAAAGCCGAGGGTTGCCGGCATATTTCATAATCTTCAATAATTTGCTCTCGTGTTTTATTATACATCTTCGTTTACAACATTCAATTGATTCCACTTTTAATATAAATTTTTGCATTTGGGCTTCCAGGTTCATAGAATCGCCGAAGAATAACTTAATAAGTAGAAAAATTTTTTATTTAATTATTTATTCCATTTACTTTTTAATCTCAATTTGAAGGTTTTTGAGATTAAAGTTGGAATTTTTTGCGAACCGATAAAACAATATGCCCATCAAGAAAAAGAAGTACAGTTCCAGGTTTCCACCTACCAGGGTAAAGAAGATAATACAAAAAGATGAGGAAATTGGAAAAGTCGCTGCAGCTGTCCCTGTTATCATTTCACGAACTTTGGAGCTATTTATAGAATCATTGATCAAGAAGACAAATGATTTGGTGATTTCAAAGAATGCAAAAACCCTGACACCGCAACACATTAAAGAGACGGTGCTGCAAGACACAAAATTCAAATTTCTATCGGAGCTCGTGTCCTCGATTCCAGATATCCAACCGAAAGAAGATGACAGTCGACAGGAAACCGGCGCATCCCTACCACGACAATCGCCGCCAACTTCATCGACGTTTATACCATCACACTCAAAGTCTAACTTACCAAGTCCTAATTTTGGTGGTAGAAGTGGGGCCAGTGGTGTGTCGGCAAAAGTTTCTACTGGCAAACCCAGAGGAAGACCAAAAAATAGGAAAATTGAGGATGAATTACCCATCAAACCGAATAGAGCAAAAAAGATGAAAATGGACAACGAAAGGCCTAAAGCTTCTTAAATTGTTCTAGATTGCTCTAAACATTTTTAATCACACAAACATATGCAAACATACACACACAGTGCTCTCTCTTAGGTAAGCGCTCGTACTTTGTGCTAGTAACTAACCCACGTGACCATGTGATGGAACAATTTCCATTACATACATACATTCATACATACATACATTTACCGGTAATGTATTTTACTGAATAAAGGATTTTTTGAATTGAATTGAAATACCATTTAGAATTAAAAATTTAACATCTTAATTGAAAATTATAAATTATTAAATTTATAAAAAATCATCAGTATATATGTTTAATGACCCTTGTACGGTGTACATCGCATACAACAACAGCAAACGTTCAACTAAGGCTCATTCATTTTAGTGGAAATATGAAAGATGAATTTCACTTCGCACGCTCTATTTTCAATGTTTGCGTTCATTTAATTCGCTTACTTTTTCCATCTCTCTTTCTTTTCTTTCTCTCTCTCTCTCTCACACACCCATCCTTTCATTCGCTTTCACTCGCTTATTCCCTCTTTTTTCACTTTGTTTCTTTACGTTTCTCTTGTGTTTATTACTTTCTGTTTGTGTGTTTGTCCCTGTCTATGGTTGTACCTGTCTGTGTTTGTTCCTTTCTGATTGTATGTTTGTCTGCATCATCCCACGTTTTTATGTAAATTTTTATATAATCTGATTTGTCAATGTGAGTTTCTGATAGGTACAATTATCTACCAATCACTCAATCATTCACAAACATTTATATAGCGCATTATCTGATATTGATGGACGTTCAACGGAACCCTTCAAAATTTTGTAATTTGCATAAACAAAAACAAATATGTTAAACAAATTATCGGTTTATCTGAAAATAAAAACATTTAAATTTGTACGTTTGTGTGTGTGTATTGTGTGTATGTGGGTTAGTTTGCTTGTACGCGTGTGCTTGTGTGTTGTGTCTGTGTGTGTGTGTGTGTGTGTGTGTGTGTGGCGTGTGTGTATGTTTATACACACAGGATTATTGACGAATGGAAAATGAAAAAATAGCTGTCAATAATTTTGACAACATACTCGTTGCTGCTTGATCGAGTGTAAATGTTTCTTTACGTAAATATTGGAGAATCAGAAATAGAACAAGAACACGCTTACATACATACGCACACATACACACACAAACACACACGTCACTATAGGAATATGCACAGACTTTAATGTACATCAAAACATACTTAAAAGCACACCTGACTGAATTGCGTGTAAACATTTACAAATCAAACATGGATATTCTCAAGCAAACAAACAAACAAACAAACAACAAATATACATATAAACATACAACAAGCCTATATATACAACTCAATACAACTTTGCGTTAAAAAAATCCAATTAACTTATTAATCTACAAAGAAAAGTAAAAAAGAATGAAAACGTGGTGCCGGTTGATAATTTCACATTTTTTGGCTGTCCATATTTATGGCTGTCCATACAACGGTCTGATGAATATCGATCTAACTTCATGGTCATTCTTGTTGCGTTAGTTGTGGTGTTGGCTGTCGTTTTGTTGGCGTTTTTTGCTGTAGTAGTATTAATAGTAATAGTAGTAGTATTAGTAGTAGCAGTAGTAGTGGTAGTAGTAGTAGTACTAGTAGTAGTAGTAATAGTAGTAGGAGTAGTAGTAGTAGAAGTAGTAGTAGTAGTAGTAGTGGTAAAAGTAGTAGTACTTGTAGTTGTAGTATTAGTAGTAGAAGTAGTAGTAGTAGTAGTTGTTGTAGTAGTATTAGTATTAGTAGTAGTAGTAGTAGAAGTAGTAGTAGTAATAGTAGTAGTAGTAGTTATGGTATTAGCAATTTTTTTTTGTTGTTTTTGTTCTACTTGATCTGTCATCTAAAAACAATAACGCCTGCTGCATCGGTGGAATAGGTATAACCGTACAATAGGCACAAGCACACACACTTAGGCATATGAATGAGAATAGGTAAAATACACAAAATTACATCCAAATACAAGCAAAACTACCAAATTGGACAAAGGCACTGGCTCAAAAACATGAAAAATTACTCTTAATGATTTATTTTTCCCATTTTAAATTAAAACTTGGAGCCTTAAAAATCTCGAAAACTTTTTTTTGACTGAAAAGTAAGAATTTGAAGATTCAAAACTAATTAAGTTTGAAAGTTAATTAAGTTGGGAAATTAATTGCTTTCAAGAGTTAACTGAATTGACAAGTTAATTAGATTTAAAAGTTAATTAGATTCAAAATGTTACTTCTATAAAATTAGTTACTCTCTGTAGATAAGAAATCTTAATTTTGTGCTCATGCAATGTTTTCATGAAACCAGAAATAATATTTATTCATTTATTTACACAATTTGAATTCTTTGTTATTGCCAACTTCATCAATGACGTCATCATTGCGTCATCATCATTGCGTCTTCATCGCCATCGTCATCATCTTTACCGACATCATCATCATCATCATTCCTCTCATCATTATCAAAACCAATAGGAAGCTATTCAATATTTCATAACAACAGTGTTTGCCGTGTGTATAAGTGTTATCATCCACATTATCATCATCATCACCGTTATCATTATCATCATAAAGTTTTTATCGAAATCACTATAATCATCATCACTATCAATATCATCAGCATCATCATTCTCGTCATCAGTATCATCGTCATCATGGTGAACAATTGCAAGCAAGCACCAACCACTCTGTCGTAAACATCAACGAGTCCGAGATAAAAAAAATGAAATCAAATTTACAATTCCCTGTCCATCTATTCCCAAATAAAACATACAACAAACACACACACAACGACACAAACACACACTACCAACTCATTCACATACACACACACACACACACACATACACAAACAAACAAACAATAATTACGCACCTAACATACAAATATAAAAAAGGCAAAACATAAAAAAAATAAGATGAAGCCAAAAAAATCTCGTACAAAAATCCTACAAAAATGAAAAAAAAGAACTTCAAACTTTCAGTAAGAAAAAAATCAAAAACAAGCAATCCGCCAATTGGCTGCAACAAGCGACCGACTAACCGACTGACCAGCATACCGACCGACAAACAATTGGTACATAGCCGACAAACGTAATGCTTTGCGCTCCAGTGACGCGCAACAATTTTTTCACCCTCCAGTGAGCTTGAAGGTCGGTTGAAGGTCAGTTTATTTATAAAACTGCTTGTTTATATTCTGCGCTGCGGTGTTGCTTCTGTTGGAGGGGCTGTTTCTCACAGCATGCACAACACAGCTCTCCCATGCTAAATTTTATTCAATAGTTTAGCGAGCCAGCTAAAGTAAGACACTGTTTTAATTTATTTCAATACTTTTTTATTTTAATCTGTTTATTTTCAATATTTTATTTCAAACACGAGATTTTGCACGCGTTTCACACACAACCACTCATTCATCTAAATACTCGTTAAAGACCTGAATGTGTGTGCACCTGCATGAAACTTTCTTTGCTATCGAACCAGGCAACTGCTAAACCAAACAGGATGCTTTCCTTATTTGATTCATCCCTCAATCAAAACTGCTTCTATGCACTTGTCTTCATTTGTTTGAATCTTGTTTGTCGGTGAGCATTAATATATGCGCGCCTAATGTACGCAAATATACAAAGTGTTCGCCATAAAATGTTCGGTGATATGATTGCTCTGTATCGAAGAGCGAGTGAATGCGTTCGTGGTTGGTTGGTTGATTGGTTGAATGGTTGGTTGGTTGGCTGGCTGGCTGGATGGTTGACTGGTTGGTTGGTTAGTTTGTTGCAAACACACACACACACACACTCGCAAGACTACAAGTTTCCATAAACATCGTACATGTTTTATGTGCATCAGTACAAGACATTCTTCTTCACACACAATAAATTTTTATGTGCTGCTCATATTAATCTGCAAATAATCATTTTACATAGAGTCACACTTCTATACCAGCACACATACGCACACACATATCACACACACACACATATAAACTTAGGAACACCCACACATACCAGCACATATTTTCACACATACACGCTCGTATATAAAATAAAATACCTGCCAACATGTTATGGATATTAAAAAATAAAAAACTTCAACCATCCTAATGGCATTTTTGAAGGTCTTTGAAAGGTTCAGTTCATTTTTAGTGCAATGCTTGCTAGCTCACTTTCATGTTTATAAAGTTGGAAACATCATTACTGTAATCGGCAACTACGACATGAATAACAACATTTCCAGAAACTATGACATTAAGTTTGTTTTTAAAAGACATTAATTATTTAATTGACATCAACAAAATCACCAGCAGCAATTGAAGTAGCATCAACAACACTCGTAAGAATGCACAAACCATTTGAAATCTACGAAAACTTCAACAACAAAAATACATCAACAACAACGTGACAACAACAACATAACAACAACAACAACGTGACATCAACAAAGACAACCAAAACAACAACATTACAACATCGGCACGTTACCTCTTGGCATGTGTTTGTTTACAAACGACGGTAAATAACTTGCCAACCGATAATGTTTATGAAGATTTTCACATGACCACAAAAAATACAGAAAACATACAAAACAACAGCAAAACAACAGAAAAACAAACAAAACAACAACATGAACATCGCCAACAACAAAAACTCGAACGGCAAATACATCAAGTCGTATGTCGAAACACGTGCAAGCTTCTTTACAAATCTAGATCTTACTGATTGTCCAAGGTTTTGTATTTCGCGCTATTTTTTCTCTTCATTTGTATTTCATAATTTTTATAAGAGTTGCGTATAAATCAGGACAAATTGGTGAGGCGAAATTGTAGTGCAAAATTATCTTCTCCATTCTATTATGTCAATGTTTAAGTTGGGCATGAGCGCCTGTTTTAATAAACTCGCCCTTGCAATTCGCCTGCTAAAAAGACGGCCACGAAATTGAGAGAAAAAAATTTTGAAAAAAATTCAAAGATGACGTAGGTTGACGTCATAAAAAATAATAATTATTATTATTTATAATTTATAATAAAAATTTATATTAACTATCTGTAATGAAAATTTATGACACGACGAATGAGAAGTTTACTTACTGAAAGGACAAACAGCCTACAATAACAAATGGATAAACATGAACGAAAGATACAAATAAATGATATCAAAAAGATATCCAAAGGTTATATATATATAAATACAAATTTGATGAATATACAAATATATACAACATTGATATACAAGAAGATAAAAAAAATATCCAAACAAACGTTATACAAAAAAACGATACCAAATGCGAAACAATACAAAACAAAATACAAAACAGAAACAACACTAACAAGCAAGTGTTGTTGATGATGTCGTGGTTGAGCCAAATGTCTTCCCCTGGCAAGATGGTCTCCGTTTGGGCATAAAGGGCTTCTGAACACTTAGCCGATGGCTCATCCCAATAATTTTTTGAACAATTTTTAATGTCGTTGTGGTTGTCGCTGCTGTGGTGACGTTCATAGACGTGGTAGTCGTGATAATGTTGGTGGTGGTTGTAGTGGCGATGATGGCTGCTGTAGTCATTGTTGATGTCGTCGTCGTCATTTTTGTTGGCGTTGCGATATTTACGTAGTTTGATCATTTTGTTCGTGTTGTTGTGATTGTCATTGTTGCTGATGTTGTTATTGTTGTTGTTGTTGTATGCTAGTGCGTTTACGTTGATGGCATTTTCAAATGAGTTTTCATATACTGTGCTGCCATATGTGTTGTTTATTGTTGTGGTTTTTTGATAAAATTTCAAATTTTTTAGATTGAAAAAATTATTAACTTTTTTGATGCTGTTGTTGTTTTTGTTGTCATTGATGTAACTGTTGTTGTTGATTTTGTTGTTTGCTGTGATAGTGGTGCTGTAATAATAATTAATGTCATGGTTGTTGTTAGTTACGATATGGTTATGTTTGTTGTTATATACGGAATGAAACGTGTGGATATATGTTGATGCTGTTGTTGTTGGTGGTGGTATCGTTGTTAATGTTGTTGATACAGTAGGAGGCTTTACCAGATGACGTTTACATAAATGATTTTTTCTACGAATATGTTCGTTTTTATCGCCAGTGTTGTCGATGTTATTATTGTTAACAGTAATGTTGTTGTTGTTGATGATGACGTCATAAATGTTGTTGTTGTTGTTGTCGTTGCTATTTACAGACAGTACGTTTGCTGAAATTATAGAAAAAAAATATTGAAAACGAAATAAAAACAAAAGTTTTACCTAAATTCATATTTGAAATTCAAATTTTTTGAATGATAAAAAAAAATTTGTTATAGTAATAAAAGTGAAAGTAAACAACAACAACAACTACTACTACTACTACTACTACTACTACTAGTAGTAGTAGTAGTAGTAGTACTACTACTACTACTAGTAGTAGTAGTAGTAGTAGTAGTAGTAGTAGTAGTAGTAGTAGTAGTAGTACTGCTGCTGCTGCTGCTGCTACTACCACTACCACAACAATAACGACATTGCTAACGAAGCCTGCATATAGTAAACAGTTCAGTCAGCGCTCAGTTCAAAGGTTACAAAAAGGGTCGTCAGAACTCTTTCTCCTTTTATCTCTCTCCTTCTCCATCCCCCAGGTTTTTTTTTCTCTCTCTCTCTCTTTCTTTCTTTCTTTCTCTCTTTTCATCTTTTTCATTCTTTTAGTTCGTCTCTGTTTCTCTGCCTATAATTTTTTTTTCCCTTTACTGAAAAGAAAAAAGAATATTAAAAAAAACAGTAAAGAGAAATAGAGAGAGAGAGAAAGAAAGAGAGAGAGAGAAGAATAGACAGAGTGAGAGGCAGTCGTCAGTAGATTGTTACCAAGAATTTGGCTTGTGTGTCTTTACTTTTTTTTCTCGTTGAGCCATGTTTGCGTACCTCTCTTGTTTATACAGTTGTTTCTGCTGCTATTGTGTTGCGCAATATTAATAAGCCAAGTCATTTCTACGTACGACTGCCTATGACATTTATGTATTTGCTTGTTTGTTTGTTTGTTTCTTTGAATGTTCGCTAGTTTGTTTGTAAGCCAGTTTTTTTTATTTTATATTTTTTTTGTTTGTTTTGTGATGTATGTTTGTATGAAGGTATCAAAAATTTGTACTTTTTCTACATGTACCAAGACTATGTATGTTGGAAGGAGACCATATTGTATGTAGGTATTGAGGGACCGCATTTTTTGTTAAATGACTTTTTTTCGTTTCGTTTTGTTTCACACCGTACCTTCACAGATAGGATGTGGTTCCTAGTTTTAGTGGGATTTTTATTTATTGATTGTAGTAGTTTGCGCGGTTATATAGAGTTATATAGAGATCGTCCGATTATGCAGAGTTATATAAAGTTTGCTGGGATACGTAGAGTTGTATTTCTATTTATTATTGGGGATTCTTTAGGGTATGTACACATTCATACATAAACCTATGTATGAATGTGTACATACATGCAAATGCTTAATGGATACAAACGCATACAACCGCATAAATACAAATATACGTACGTACATCTGCCTGCATAACCACGCATAATAACACAGTAAATGCGGGCCGGTTGGCATACGAAATGAAAAACATGGAAGAGAAGAAAGAAAAGGAGAATGAATGGCAAAAAATGAATGAATGAATGATTGAACGAACGAACAAACGAACGAACAAATGAAATAAGTTGTTTTGATGCTAAGCTATAAAAAGAACGTGCGTGGATTGCCTGAATGTTCAAGATGGGTTGATGGATGGATGGATGGATGGATGGATGGATGGATGGATGGATGGATGGATGGATGGATAGATGAATGAATGGACGGATTGATGGTCGGATGAACAGATAGATGAATGAGTGAATGAATAATATATGGATGGATGAATTAAAATTTAATAAATAAAGCAAGACAACAAAAATGATTGCAAAGTTTATCAAGTAACGTAATTAATTAGACACATTACCAATTTTTGATTGATTGATTGATTGATTGATTGATTGATTGATTGATTGATTGATTGATTGATTGATTGATTGATTGATTGATTGATTGATTGATTGATTGATTGATTGATTGATTGATTGATTGATTGATTGATTGATTGATTGATTGATTGATTGATTGATTGATTGATTGATTGATTGATTGATTGATTGATTGATTGATTGATCTAAAATCATAGACGATGAATGAATGAACGAATGCCTAACTGAATCAAACAATTTAAAAAACAAACTTCATGAATGGATAGGTTGAACTACTTAGGTAAAAATGAAAAAAGAGAGAGAGAAAGAAAGAGAGATAGAGAGAGAGAAAGAAGGATAGAGAGAGAAAGAGAGAGAGAAAAAAAAATGTGTTAACTTTTGTGATGAATTAATATAATTGAATTTTAAATGATCTAACTTAAGTTAAATAGATGAAATTAGATCAAGAAAAAACTATAATGTGCAATATAATCAAGCATAATTGTATAAATTGTATACATAAAAGAAGAGAGAGAGAGATAGAGAGAGAGAGAGAGAGATAAAGAGAGAGAGACAGATAAAGAGACAAAAAATGTACCTACTTGAATAAAAAAAATCCAAGCACTTCTTGGTGTTTGTAAAGTTGACAAGTCACAAAGTTAATAAAATAAACAGAGTTAATATACCAAAGTTAATATAGACAAAGTTAATATAAACAAAGTTACCATAGACAAAGTTAATATAAACAAAGTTAATATAAGCAAATTAATATAGGCCAAGTTATAATTGGCAAAGTTAATATTGGCAAAGTTATAATTGACAAAGTTAATATAGATAGACAAAGTTAATAATAAACAGTATATAAAGCCGAGGGTTGCCTGTATATTTCATAATCTTCGATAATTTGCTCTCGTGTTTTATCATCCATCTTCGTTTACACTTTTCAATTGATTCCACTTTTAGTATAAAATTTTGCATTTTGGCTTCTAGGTTCATAGAATCGCCGAGGAATAATTAATTAAGTAGAAAAATTTTTTCTTTAGTTATTTATTCCATTTACTTTTTAATCTCAATTTGAAGGTTTTTGAGATTAAAGTTGGAATTTTTTGCGAACCGATAAAACAATATGCCCATCAAGAAAAAGAAGTACAGTTCCAGGTTTCCACCTACCAGGGTAAAGAAGATAATACAAAAAGATGAGGAAATTGGAAAAGTCGCTGCAGCTGTCCCTGTTATCATTTCACGAACTTTGGAGCTATTTATAGAATCATTGATCAAGAAGACAAATGATTTGGTGATTTCGAAGAATGCAAAAACCCTGACACCGCAACACATTAAAGAGACGGTGCTGCAAGACACAAAATTCAAATTTCTATCGCAGATCGTGTCCTCGATTCCAGATATCCAACCGAAAGAAGAACAGGAAACCGGCGCATCCCTACCACGACAATCGCCGCCAACTTCATCGACGTTTATACCATCACACTCAACATCTAACTTACCAAGTCCTAATTTTGGTGGTAGAAGTGGGGCCAGTGGTGTGTCGGCAAAAATTTCTACTGGCAGAGGAAGACCAAAAAAAAGGAAAATTGAGGATGAATTACCCATCAAACCGAAGAGAGCAAAAAAGATGAAAATGGACAACGAAAGGCCTAAAGCTTCTTAAATTGTTCTAGATTGTTCTAAACATTTTTAATCACACACACACATATGCAAACATACACACACAGTGCTCTCTCCTAGGTAAGCGCTCGTACTTTGTGCTAGTAACTAACCCACTGACCATGTGATGGAACAATTTTCATTACATACATACATACATACATACATACATACATACATACATACATACATACATACATACATACAAACATACATACATACATACATACATACAAACGCACATGAATATAACATTTCTCCATCGATTAATCAGACAAAAGTAAGGGGGCATAATTAATCAAGCAGACAGATGAAAGTTATTAAAATATAAAAAAATATATTTTTGCGTGGATTAATTCTCAAAATTATTTTGATTAATGGCCGACTTTGAAAAAGGATGAAAAAAGACTTCGTCTTTCAAATAATTGAACAGCTTCGGCTGCCATGTTGTGTGATAAAAATATTTTAGTCATGTGACCACGAAAATTATTTTTTCTTAGTTTTAAACTCAGAATTTAAATATTTCTTTCTATTATTCTTATATACAGGCACACTAAAATAATTATAAAACACATGTTTTTAAATATTTACGCTATGAATTGTAAACGTTTGTAACATTCAGATTATAAAAAGTTAAAATTAACGATTTTAAATAAAGTTTGATAAAATGAAAAATAACAAATAAACAAAATCACCAACAAAGCAAAAAAATAATTAGAAAAATTATGATGTTTTGTTATTTTCGCCATTCTTTTCATTTCCTTCCGGTTTTGTAAACGGGTGCGATCGACGTTCCTTAAAAATTAATCATTTCCTCAGCTGATTAATTAACAAACCACTGGTCAGTTGGTCAGTCGGTTGGTCAGTTGGTCGGTTGGTTAGTCGGTCGGTTGGTCAGTTGGTCAGTCGGTTGGTTGGTCAGTTGGTCGGTTGGTCAGTCGGTCGGTTTGTTTGTTGGTTGGTCAATAAACACCTATACAAAGCACATACTTATAAATAAAACTAACACGGAACATTCATTCATACATACACACGAACTTATACACAAACAATATACAAACTACAGACACATACAAACATGCCAGTCCGCAAGCACATTTACCAAAAAATTAATGTTAGATAGAATAATAATAAGAATAATAATAATTATTATTATTATCATCGTTGCTGTTGTTATTATTATTGTTATTATCGATATCTTATGTAAACAGCTAAATTAGCAATGTTGACGTGGTTCGATTTTATTCGTAGCTCTATATGTATGTACCTCGTGATAATAATGACGTCACCATCATCCTCCTCATCATCATCATCGTCGCCGTCATCATCATTATCATTTTGTATTCATTATCATTATAACCATCATCATAATCATCATCATCATCATCATTTTGTTTTCTTTATTACGTCTTCACTACCACATCAACAGAATTTTTTATTACGTCGTCGCCTTATAATCATAAATCACAGGGCAAATCTAACTTCACATGATCATCGTTATCATCATGATCATCGTTATCATCATCATCATCATCATCATCATCATTAGATAATCATTATCATGACAAGTTTTGTCACGTCAAATCATAATTAAGTAATAATCTCAAAAACATGACGTCATCATGACATCATCAGGATATCCCCTCATTATCACGTGACTATAATAAAGAGTTATTTTTAGCCCGACACATCATTTAGATATTTATGTTTTTATCTATTTTAATCACGTATATGTAGGATCGTCAACACGTTTGTCAATAACATCCTCATCATTATTATCATCTCCTGTATCATGATACAGATGATGACATGATACATGATAGGATAAGAATCGATGGTCATCGTTATCATTAGCGTCATTATTATTTTTGATATAATTAATTTTCAACTTCGCTGTGTCCATATTTAATGACGTCATTGATGTTATTAACATCGTCATCTGATGATGATGACGGTGATGGTAATGATTGTGATGATGATGAGGAGGAGGAGGAAGAGGAGGAGGGTGATGAGGATGATGATGGAAATAACGATGTTAATTATTATGATGTTAATTATTTGCGTCGTTCAACTGAATCATCATCACCACCACCATCATCATCATCAACATGACGTCCTTAAATTTTTGAAAAATAACAATTGGTGGGCTTAAATGGAAAATTAAATATCCGAAAAAAAATATGATAAATAATAACACACAACAATAACAACAGCCACAACAACAGCAGCCACAACAACAGCCACAACGTCAAATGAAAGCATGGCTGGCAGGGTGATTGATTGAAGGATTAAAAATGGCGATGATAAAAAACAGAAGCTGTCTGAGGAACGCATCGCGTAACA